GGAGGAGGAGGAGGAGGAGGTGGCTTGGGGTGTTCGGGTCGGCGGAGGGCCTCATGCTCTTGGAGGATGCGGCCGGCGCAGAGTGGCGCAACATTCTGTCTCCCGTGGCGCCTGTCCCAGGGCGGCCCCCCTGGAAGAGCTTCTGCCCCGCCGTGCCGCCGTACAGTGCCGTTTTCAATACATGCTGCGCGTGCGGATCGTGTGTTAAAGATGCAGGGATCTAGCATAGAAAAACGACGGTGCGTTTATGCATAGATTTATTCAAACATTAATCATGGTTTAAAAATCATATATGTTAAAAGATCCCATGCATTAAACACTGCCCTGTAGGGGGAGAGACTTTTCAGCCGCCCTGGGGCAGGCGCCCCCCTCCGACGGCGCAACATTCTGTTTTGTACCATGCTTCGCCCGTCGAAGGCTGTTCTTCGGTCCTGGGTCCGACTGTAACTGGGCGCCCGCGAGCCCGCCCATCGTCGTACGCCGAGGGTCGGGCATGTCCTCTGCGCCGGAGGAGTCTTCGAGCACAGCGAAAGCTAGTTTCGGGACGCATTCCCGTGCTCTTTTGGACCATCTTTGGCTGTTCTTGGGCAGGTGCTTCTTTTTCTTCCAGGCTCCGCCTGTACAGCCCGGGCCCTGCAGAAGGAACCCTTTTCGTTGGGGAGGGGCTCGGTGTTCCTTGAATTGTTCTACAGTTTGCCTTCCGTTTTCCTGAGGTTTTCCATGGGAAATCGAAGTTCAACTTATGGGAGAAAGGGGCCCCGTTCCTTATTTACTCCAGACTTCGTAATAAAAGGAGGGGGGTCTCATTTCGGGGGGGGGTCTCTTCCAGGCCATCTTGGAGGGCCTGGGGGGTCTGGGGACGATGTTTTGGAGGGTTCTCCCACGGGGGAGGTCCGAAATGGCTTGCCTTGGAGGGTCCAGACCCCCTCCCTTCTACTACGAGATCTGGGGTAGGGTTCCTCAGGTCAAGGCCCCGACTGTGGGAGGACGTGCCCCGCACCTCGCCGCGCGCCTTTCCCCCCCCCCCCCCTTGCCCCCTCGCAGGCCAGCAGGGCGCCGCTCGGCGGCCTCTCCTCCCGATCCCCCCCTTTTTTTTTCTCGTGCTCGTCCCTCCTCGTCCCCGTCCCCGTCTCCTGCCTCGTCCGCCTCCTCTCAGGAGGGACAAAAAGACACAGGTACAATGAATCGACGATCCCCAGGAAAATATAGGAAAATATGGAAGTGGGGGGGAAGACAAAAACCCAGAAAATATGGGGAAACATGGGGATTTTTTTTATTTGTGTGTATTTGTTTGTGTGTCCTGGGGCCCCTTCATCCTCGTTCTCCGTGTCCTCCGCCCCCCTTTTTTTCTCGCGCTGGCCCCCCTTTCGTCCCTCTTGGGGCGATCTTGGCGGCCTCTTGGGCCGCCTGGAGCCGTCGGAATGCCGAGAAGAGGCAAATACCAGAATCCTCCAAAAACCTAGGGGACATCAATGATTTTGGCCTCTTCGGGCCCTCCTGGAGAACCTCCTGGAGGCCTCTTGGGCTGTCCCCGTCTCCTACCCCGTGTGCCTCCTCCTCTCTCCGTGCCCTCCGCCCCCCCCCCCCCCCAAACAGCAGCGACCACGAGCAGCGCCTGGTCTGTCAGCTCCAGCCCTGCCAGGGAGCAGAGGGGGTGGCGCGGCGCTGCTCCTGCGAGCCGGCAGCCTGCCGGAGACGAGCCGCGGACAGCTCAGCGAGAGGGCGCGCGCCCCGGGGAGGAGCTGCAACCAGGACGCTGAAGGATAAGGACCACTTTGGGGTCCTCTCCTTTGACCCCAGAGTGGTCCTGGACTTCGTCCTGGCCCCCATCTCTCTCCTCGTCTCCCTCCTCGTTCTCTGTGTCCTCCGCCCCCCCCCTTGTTCTTTGGGCACGCCACAGAAGCACAGGCCTGAGGTGTCAGCAACGGCATGCAACCGTTGGAATAAGCACCATCTTGGGCTCTGGAGGGGCTCCTCGGGCCATTCCTTAGGTCTAGGTCGAGGGACCTACTCGTGGCCGAGGCTCGCCGTGGCCAGAAAATCCTCTTCGCTTCCTCTTCAGAGTTCCTCAGGGCGGCACGGTGACTGCATGCGGGGCAAGCGAACACGGCGCAAGGATGGAAATGGAGCCTTGCGTGGCCAGGCGACTGTCGCCCTGCACGACCTCCTTCTCTCGGGCGATCGCCGATGCTCCTCCTGACCTGCGCCTCCATCACCTCCGCCTGGAACCACTTCCCCTGCCCTGCTAGGGGGCCACATACGAACCCTACCCCTGCCCCCCACGATTGCTGCGGGGGATGGTGGGGTTCACTTCGCTCGAGAGCTCCCGAACGAAGTGAACCCCACCCTCCCCCTCAGATCGTGGGGGGTAGGGGTAGGGTTCGCATGTGGCCCCCTACCTGCCCTGCCCCCCCCCCCCCTCAGCTGCCGGCGCAGGTCCGTGGAGCAGCCTCACCGGCCGTGGTGGCGGTGCGCGTGCCGGCGCCGGCCCGAGCGCTGA